ACTTGGAATAAAATGCCCCTATTATGAGCCATTGTTGATAGTTTTGACTCTCTCTATATATATATACATAAGATATGCCTAACTCAATACTTTTGTTATTTAGTTATTTTTCTTCTGAGATTTGTGTTATTTTCCTGATACTGTGACTGAATACCTGACAGAACAACTTAAGAGAGGAAACGTTTATTTTGATTCACAGATTGGGAGAAATTTCAGCCCATAATAGCAGAGAAAGCATGGCTGTTGTGGTGTGAGGTAGTGGAATGTTCACATGGTTGTAATTAAGAAGTAGAGAGGCTGGACTGGACCAGGGTTGGTTATAACCTTCAAAAGTCTTGTCCTCGTGATATGCTTCCTCCAGCCAGGCCTACCGCCCAAAAGCTTCACAGCCTTCAGAATAGTGCCACAGGCTAGGGATCAAGTGTTCAAAATAGGAGCATTTCAGATTCAAACCTTAACAAGATTGAACTCTTTCTAGCTGTTTCTAATAGGTGACAACTAAGGTGAAACTAATGGTTAGGAAATAAAGAAAATACTTAAGAATTACTGGGTTTTGGATGGAGGGGAGGGAAATCAAAAATATACAAGATCTTAGCCTGGTCTACATAGCGAGTTTTGCACACACACACACAGACACGTATGTGTGTGTGTGTGTGTGTGTGTATGATTTTATTTTATTGTTAATTTGTGATTTAGGATTTTGTTGCATCTTTCATGACCTTTTGCATATGCTAGGTGCTGTTTGTCCTTTAGAATTTCAAGTATAAGAGATGGATGGTATTCCTATGGATCTGAGACATATGTAATATAACTGATAATTACAATTGTCTAGTATGTCAATATTTTGATACTCAAATTTCTAGAGGAAGTATTTTCCAGGGTGGTTTTTATAAGCTCTTCTCATGTTTAAATTTTGAAAGTTTTTAACTCCACAGAAAAGATTACAACGGACACCTGTCATATTTATTCATGTATGATAAATGTATATGCACAGTTACATCTGTTATATCATATAACTATATTACATACAGATATTTGTGAACTGTTTGCAAATAAATTGTAAACAAAATTATTCTTGACTCATTACTGAAATGCTTGCATGCATGTGTTAAAGAATAAACTCTCCTCAAATTATTTCAAAATTATACCTAGAAAATAGCATAATAGCATAATACCCAAACACACACTCTCCATATTCAGATTTTACTAATAAAACAACCTTGTTACTTTTGCCCCAGTCCTATGTTAACTTCATTTATTTGGATATATTTGGTTATTGTATCAATGTAGTTTTTTTTTTTTTAATGAACTACTTAGGCCGGGTGTGGTGGCACATGCCTTTAATCCCAGCACTTGGGAGGCAGAGGCAGGCAGATCTCTGTGAGTTCAAGGCCAGCCTGGTCTACATAGTGAGTTCCAGGACAGCTGGGGCTGCAGGGAGACCCTGTCTCAAAAAGACCAAAAATTAAATAAATGAATGAATGAATGAATGAATGAATAAAATTCTTACTTGAAGAGCCCAAATTGTAGAAAGTTTCACCTTCTAGATTTATCTTAACATAGATTCAGGATGAACTTTAGCCAGAGTACCGCAGAGGTGATGGGCATCTTACTGCATTTCATAGAGACACATGTTCAGTTGTTCTAACTTGTGGTAATGTGTTGCTCACTTGGTTAAGATGGCAGTCACTAAGCCTCTCTGTTTCCCCTTTATAATGAATAAGCAGTCCTGTTAGCCACTCATTTTTCACCCTGTAATTTTAATACTGATGATTGAGCCTTTACGAAGTTGCATTAAAGTTTTTGCAAAATGTTGAATTTCTAATTCTGTCATTCTTTTCACATTTATATAACTGAGACCTGTAAAGAACATTGTCACCTCTCTTTTTCTCTCTAATGTGGACTCACAGAGTTTTAAAAATTCAATATGTCATTTCTTCAAGCAAGTTTCTCTGAGCTTTGACATGCTTTTTAAAAAGAAGTCTCTTAACTTACCTAGTGACTCTCATATCACAGATCTGAAATCAACTAGTTTTCCAGGAAGCTATGGTTCCATTTAGTGGTGAAATAAAGAGTGCTTGTTTGAATTAAGTTCAGAAGTAGAAGGCAAGCCAAATAGTGGGTTCAAAATATGATACAAAGAGATGGGAGCAACATGAAATATTTCATCATTAGCAAATTTTAAACAGGAGCTGGGAGATGGCACAGTTGAGTGCCATGAGGACCTGAGTTTGAATGCTTAACACTCATGTAAAAAGCTGGTCATGGTTGAACCTGCCTGTAACTCCAGTGCTATGGGAGGCAGAGATAGGAACGGTTCCTGAGACTTGCTGGCTGCCAGCCTAACCCCAGGTTCAGAGACTCTGCTTTAAGGAATAAAGTAAAGAGTGATAGAGCAGAAGACCTAGTCTTGGGCTTCCATGCAGGTGCACACGCACTGAACCCAAAATCACCTATACACACTACACATACCAAAGATAATTTTAACAGTTTCAAAATGTAAAGTATGAAATTAGGGACTAAATAAAAATGAAGATCTTGTGGGTCTTTCTTCATTGTACAGTTTTCACATGGGGATGTGCATAAGAGAGCACTTAAAGACATGATTAGTGGAATTATGCCAGTAGATTAGAATGTTAAAGGGCTGGAGAGATGGTTCAGTGGTTAAGAGCACTGGTTGTTCTTGCAGAAGACCCGGGTTCAAATCCCAGCACTCACGTGGCAGCTAACACTCCAATCCCAGGGGATCCAACAGCCTCTTCTGAACTCCACAGGCATTGCACATGCAGGCAATACATGCATACACATAAAACAAAAATAATAGATAAAAAATTTTAAAAGAATGTTAAGTAATTTTTTTTTCCTTTTTTGGTATTTTTAAGACAGGATTTTGCTATGTAGCCCAGGCTGGCCTGGAATTCATGATCCTCTGCTTCTGCCTCCTTAGTGCTGGCATTACAGGTGTGTGCCACCACACATCTGGCAAAATATTTTCAAAACAAATACATATTAAATGTATGAGTTAAAATGTAAAGGTACATCAAGAGTACAGCAATTGGGTTAGCCTAAGTAGGAGTGCAAGGGCACAGAGACTCTTGTTTCTGGCATAGTTTGATGTCATTAAAATGAAAAAAGATTAAAGTGACATCATCCTGGAGGCTAGATTTTATCAGAATATGAATGTTTTATCTAGATTAAAGGTTCTAGGAATAGAGGATAAGTTTCAGAATGATTTTAGGGGCTAAATAGGCAGGATTTAGTCACAGAGAATGGATTCTAGGGTGATTCCTCTGTGCTTTTCCTTCTTTAGGCCAGTAAGTTAGTGTCAGGGGTTCAGAGGTTTTTTTCCTCTGTCATTCTCTGTATTGTCTCTGTCAGCTCTCTCAAAACCTGGAGCTTACAGATTATTTCTCTACTTCCCCAGCGCTGGGAGTGCAGGCTCATGTCACAGCACCAGGCTTTGTGTGGATGCTGGGAATCTGAACTCAGCTCTGTATTCTTCCGTGCTGCAAACACTTAACCAGTTGCACTGTCTCCCCAACCCCCCCCCAGTAGATATTTCTTAATCCACTGCTGGAATGCCTAAAGATATTTATATGTGTTTTTCTCATTGTTCTAAGTAAAAGCTGAAATCTTTTTTCTTTTTAATTTTTAAATTTATTTTTATTTTATGTGTATGTATTGCCTGCAGTTGTGTAAATGCACCCATGTCGTGCCTTGCCCACAGAGGATAGGAGGTGTTTGATCCCCAGGAATTAAAGTTATAGGTGGTTGTTAGCCACCATGTTGGTGCTGGATTCAAACATGGGTCTTCTGTAAGAACAGCCAGTGCTCTTAACCACTGAGCCATATCTGCAGCCCAAAAGCTGAACTCTTAATCTAAGCCTCTCCTTTAAAACCAAAAGGAAAGAAAGAAAAAGAATTTTTTTTTTTTAATTTTTAAGTAAAAACAGCAACATCCCCCCCACCACCCAGTGCGTATTTGTTTTTCTTGCCTTTAAAATTCGAGTTTCATGGAACATACAGGTAATCTCAGCATTTGGGAGGTGGAGTAGTAGGGGCAATCAGAAGTTCAAGGTCATCTTCCCCAATATAGTGAGCTTAAGGCCAACCTTGGTTATATGACATCCTGTGGGTTGTTTTTGCAGGCGGTGGGGGGCACACACTGTTTGAGACAGGGTCTCCCAGTAGCCCCAGCTGGCTGGAACTCGCAGTGTAGACCAGGATGGCTTCAACAATCTCACAGAAATCCGCCTGCCTCTGCCTCCCAAGTGCTTGGGACTACACCTGGCAAAATATGAGTTTTATATAGATTTTATTGGCCATAGTTTATAACTTGAATTACCTTTTAATACCTGTGTCTCAGTTTTGTCTCTTTTATGCTTAACAGTTTTAAATTCTATGCTGATACCTTCCTGCTACTCAGTTTGCTTCAGGCTTCTTGGTGCTGAATGCCAGCAGAGATTGTGTCTGAGGCCTCAGATTACTGTGCAAGTACTTTGCTACTTGACAATGTCCCCAACCCTTTCTTTTTTATATATTTTGTTTTGACACAGAGTCTCACTAAATTGCTTAATTTGGCCTTGAACTCCCTCTGTAGCCCAGGTAGGCCTTGAACTTGTGATCTTCTTGCCACAGCCTATCTAGTACTGGGATTCTAGGCATGTTCCACTAGATCCAGCTAATGCTATGTTTTGAATGCTTATGAAATAGACCTGACAAAAATGATCATAAAGAAAAATCAGTGAAATAAATATCCTCAAAAAATTAAGTTTACATAACATGTCCAGTTTTCTATTAACTTGTTTTAGATTATGTGCAAATCCAAGAGTGAGAGAACAAGACAGCAAAACTTTCGAGAGTACGGAGGAAGATTTTTCTTAGATGCAGTCTTAGCTGTTTTTGAGTTGTGGGGGTGTTCAGTGGGAAACTTTCTGAGGGTTTTTTTATATGTGGAAATAATGTATGAGAAATACTTAGACATCGGTTTCTGTGTTTAGACTGGGCTGGCTTAGATGAAGATGAGGATGCACACGTCTGGGAGGATAACTGGGATGATGACAACGTAGAGGATGACTTCTCTAATCAGTTACGGTAGGTTGAAGTCAGATTTTTAATCAAAGCTCAGTATTAATTGTGAACATGGAATATGTAACTTGCTTAGGTAATTGTCCTCTTAAAACTTCTGAAATGATTTTATGTAAAATCAGACATACTACCCTCATCTTTTGGGTTTCTAAACAGGAAAGCTTTAGGCAACTTCATACAACTTTTGTTCCTTCTAGTCTTTTTACAAAGGTAGTTAAATAGAAGTATATTTACTTTTTTTCATGAATTTAATTGTCAGCATTCATTTTCAACTATTATTGAATAATGGACAGAAATTAGAATCACAGTGCTGGGGAACCCAATTAACTGGTGATTCTCAAATTTGGAGGTTGGAGTTGTAGGAGTCTACTTTTTTTTTGTTTACAAATATATATAATTTGCCTATTCTAGACATTGCATATGAATGATGTAATTCAAGATGTATCTTTTTGTATCCAGCCTCATAGTATAATTTTTGTTCAGGATGTGCTGACTGAATAATATGCCACTGTATGGATATGTCATATTCATCAGTTTTTGGATATTTTCATTTTTTTAATCTGTCAGGAGTAGTGTGCTGCTATGAACATGTATGTACATGTATTTGAGCACCTGTTTTCAGGTTGGGGATTATATTTAGAAGTAGAATTTGTGGATTTTATGGTAATTCTGTTTTAGCTTTTTGAAGAAGTGTCCAACTTTTCTATGGTGCTGAAAAAAATTTATATTTCCACAAACATTGTTAACCAGCCTCCAGTGGGTGGACGCACACCAAAGTACATTTGGGGAAACAAAAACATGGCTCTAGCTCCATAGGCCTTAACATGTATGACAGAATACATGAAATCAAGGAGGGGGGGCAGTCTAAATATAATCAAAATATATTGTATGGAATTCTTAAAAGTTGAATTTAAAAATTATAAAAATAATAAAATGAGATTGTCTTTTTGTTGTTGTGTTATAAGACCACTTTGCATAGTTTTTGGTATAAAACCTTATCAAATATCTCATGTGCCAAGTATTTTGTTAAGTTATGCTTTTAAATTTTTATTAATTCAGTGTATTTTTCTTTTGTTACTATGCTTTTTTGGAGGAGTTTTATAGCATTAGCTCGTACATTTAGGTCTTCAATCAGTTTGACTTAATTTTTGTATAAGATGTAGGTGTAACTCACTGTTTTGCATGGAATAATAGCCAGGTGTCCCGGGTATTGAACAGAAACTTCTTTCCCTTGCATGTATTAGGATGCTTATAGAATTTGTAAAAGTTGATGTGAACTTGACCATTCTCACAATTTTTGTTTAAGTGGCTGAAAAGATAGTTGAATAGTAGAGCACCCACTTAGCATGTGGTGCTGATTTTAATCTTCAGTACCACCACAAGGAAAATAAACCATCAAAAATTTATAATTAAATAGGTTAAAAATAAAACATTTGCATAGTATTTGCAAGATACTTGGCAGATAGTCTTTCATTTCTTCCATAAGTAGATTTATATGTAAGAAGATTAAGGAGAAAAATGAAATGTAACTAAAGGAAAAACATTTTTAAAAATTATTGTATTGACCTATACCCAATTTCCTTCTTAGAGATTTCTTTTTAGGGACTAAAATAAGGATATTTGGTAATATTTTAAACTAGTGACCCAGGCTTAGCTTATTTATGTATATATTTTTTAAAACACTTTTTTTTTTTATGATTTACCAGACAGCAGCTTAATAATGCCCTTTTTTGTCTTGTGTTCCAGCGCTGAACTAGAGAAGCATGGTTATAAGATGGAGACTTCATAGCACCTGAAGTATGGAAGGATCTTAACTTGAACTGCATACTAAATTCTAGGGCAGAGAAATCAGGATGGGATATTTAAAAAAAATGTTTATTTCATTATCTGCTTGAATTTATTTTTGTTTTTATAACAAAAAATAAATGTTTTGATCTAATCTTGGTTTGGTTCAGATGCCTTGATTTTTTTTTTTCTCTTCATTAATTTTATACTTGTGATTTTCAAGAACCTTACATTGTCACAGTAAAATTACACGTTATGAAACTTTAAAAAATGTTAATTGAGTCTCAGGTTGAACATTGTCACAATTTCTCAGATTTCCAGCTTGGCACTTTTCTTATGCCACATGAATGAAATATTGGTCAGGTTTTATGAGGTGCTACTTTTACATCACAGCATACCTTGATGTCTTCTATATTTTGATAGCTTAGGCAACATTTTCTGGCATTTATAAGGTGACCCATCAAAACCTATGTTTTAAAAATATTAATCATTTTAAATTGCTGTAATTGGTTAGTTCCTGAGCCATTCATAATGTTACTAATGGTTGATAAGAGTATTATTAGTACTTAAGTCCATTAGATGTCTGAGCTCAGTTATAAAAATCGTACCTTCTGTTAAAATTGGGGAAGTGTGCTCAGAATGCTTTAGCAATGTTTGAGTATTCTCACCCCTACATAGATTGATTCCACACAGTAAAGATTCTGCAAATTACTGTTGACTTTCTTTTTTATTGAACTTTTTGTAATTTTCATACAGCATAATTTGATGTTATTTAGATTCCCTCCCCTATCTTGTACCTCCCCTTACTGTACCCTGCCCAATTTAATGTACTTTATAATATATATAATAAGGCCTATAGAATCTAATTTGTGTCCCCAAATGTCCTTCAGTGTGGGTCTATCCACTGGAGCCCAGATAACCTACCAAGAATCCCATCCCTGTAAGAGACTGTCTCTTCCTCTCCCAGCAACCAGCCATCCAGTTGCCAAAAGTTCCTTAGGTTGAGTTTCTTACCCACTTCCCCATGTCTGTGCTGGGCTTTTGTCTGGTTTGAGTTTGCATGGGACTTGTGCATGCTGTCATCATTGCTGTGAATGCACATAAGTAACTGACCAGCTGTCTGGAAAACTCTCCTTATTTGCCTACTGTTTTGAGTGGGAGATTTAGTTTGGTGTGTTGCTGTATAGGGTGTCTTTTAGAAATAGTTATAAACCTAAATGTGTTGTTACTAAGAAACAGAATATGAGCACCCACACTATCAAGTTGAAAGGGGCACTCCTTCACCCTTTTGGCAGAGAGTTCACAGTTTGCACTTCTGTCAGTCCACCTATCCGTGATACTGGAGGATGGTCTTGGATTTTGTAGCTACTTAATGTCTCCTGTTTATTCCACTACTTAGTCTTAGCTTTCAACTATACTATCCCTGAGTAAGTAACTTCAGATGTAATTTTTGTCTAGCATAAGGAAGTAAGCAGATGCCAAAATAATTGGTGACCTGAAAATACAGGTTATGCCTCAAAATTAGTTTGGAAGTAACCCAGCTTTGCCTGCCTGACAAAATTGGCAAATGATAGAATGGAATAAAGAACAAAAAATTTTTTAAAGAATAATGCCCTGAACATACAAGCTGCTATTTTTGCAAAAGTAGTGACGCTCTAACGTGTTGAGAAATATTTTGATGCATATTTTTCAGTATTCTGACTAGACAGTAGTCAGTGTCAGATCAGTCCCCAGAATAATATTCACTTCATGTGGCTTAAGTTTAAATTGGTGAGGTGTAATTTTGAAACACCATAGGAATTGGGCAGAGGCTATGTATGTTATATAATGTGTGCCATACTTAATTATATATAAAAACTGGGTGCCTGGAAATTGGTATCAAGATATGATAAGGTGTATCAGAGTAGGAAGTGAGACTAGTCAGGCAAGGGTTTTACATGTTATCCCTTTGTTTAAACTTGGCTGATCTTTACAGTGACTGAAGCAGGCAGGAAGGGCCCAGCCATTTTATCAAATGGAAAACAGCCTCACAGCAAGTTGTGAAGTGAACAGGCTTAGCTAGCAAGTGGCAGATTCAGAATTAGAGTCCAGATTTCCTATTAGGAAGATTTCCTGCTTATGGAAAGTGTAAGAGTTCTAGGGTTAGAGCAGAGCTTTCTTCATAATTAGGCCATTGAACTCTGTGTGCATGTCTTTAAGCAAGTCCCCAAACAGCCAGGTAACAATTTTCCTGTATCATAAAGTAGAATACCTACAGGACTAAACTCTGTAAGTATTTAAAATTTGATGATCATTGGGCTGGAGATGGCTCAGCAGTTAAGAGCACTGGCTACTCTTTCAGAGGATCCAGGTCCTGTTACCAGCACCCACATGGCATTAACAATCATCCATAACTCCAGTTCCAGGAAATCTGATGTTGTCTTCTGACCTCTGGAAGTTGCCTGCACGTGGTACACTTACATGCAGGCAAAACACTCATCCACATAAACTAATTAAAAAATATGATCAGTAGGTGCTCTGTGGGTTTTTGGTTTTTTGTTTTTTTGTTTGTTTTTTGTCTTAGTCACATTACTGCTTGTATCAAAGTTTCCTCAGATTACCTTTTGTTGGGTGATTATTTTTATCATTGGGGATGAAAACATACCTATTCAACCCAGATAGGGCACTTACAACAGACCAAAGAAATGATTCCACCCAAGTCTACCTTAGTCCATCAGTGGGTTTGAGGGTTATAAGAGTATGGGTGAGAGGTTACAAGCAGGAATGTGGATGACTCAAGGGCAACCACATCACCACAAAGCCCACCCCAGCATAGATAAAGACCCACAAAAGCTGCATTCTGGAAGTTCCTTGCACAACTTTCAGGAACTTTTGCAGTTTAGCCTATTGTGGAGTCTCCTCTTGCCAACAACTGCTTATATAACCATCAGGAGGAGTCTTGTGAATTTCATTTCAGGACCTTCCTGAACCTCATAATTTTATTTCCTAAGTCTTATGAGCCTCTCTAGGAGGCAATGTTTAGGTATGCAGCAAATTGCTGTACAATACCCCTTCCTCTAGCTTCTACATTCTTCCTGCCCCTGTCTTCTGCAATGTTCCCTGAGGTTTGAGAGGGTGATATAGATGCCTTGTTTATTCTTTCATCTGTGGCTGAGCATTGGGCCACTCTGCCATAGTAGCAGTCATTTGGTCTCGGGTTATGAGTCTCTGCAGTACAGTAGTGTTACAAAAAAATGGAAGTTTCCCTTCCCAAGGCTCACAGCAGCAGTAATGTATGAGTATAAACAGAAATGCATAAAAGTCAGTTTGATAGGCATATCTCTATCTAACAAAACAATAGAGGTGTTCTCCCTACTGAGGATTATGACTTCCCTAGCCACATGTCCTTTGCCCTGGCTTAGAGTACAAGATACAGGTTTCCATCTGTGGAGTAGACATAAATCCAATTAGAGAGCAGTTGATTACACCCCTAAGAGTCATGCCATTGTTGTACCAATAGGTCTATCCACCCAGTAGGCATATCTTGCCTGGTTCTTTAGTCTGTAGCGTGCAGGAGTCAATACCTGAGCAGGACTATTGGTGACAATTCTCCCTCAGCAGCCTGTGGGCATTATAAAGCCAGCTAGCAGAGAGGGAGCTTCCAGCCCAGTCCTAGCCTGTTTTCTCCATGAACTGTAGCTAAAGCATGCAATATTTTCCACAATAGAGACTTGCCATCTAGTTCTATGCAGCCAACAATAGTAGCAATATCCTTTACAGATTGTAGGGCCTCGGGGCTTTCTGTGGCCAGCAACTCAGAGAACTAGCCTACTTCTGACATTGGAATTTTCATCCAACAACTTTATGGCTCCGGGGAGCATCCTTTTCCACTCAGGGTGCCTATGTTCAAACTCCTTAGTTGCTGTTTTTACTGTCCTTCCAGATGTGTTTCCAAGTCTGTAAGGCATTCAAGCTTTAGCAGTATATAATGAAACCTTTTTGCCAAGCCCACCTAATACCATGCAGTGGAAACAGCCACCCTGGAATTCTAAGGATGCTCCACTCTGAAGTAGCTCGAGCTTGGTTGCATATTGGTTGCAACACCAGTAGACTACACCCAAACATAAGAGTCATGCCACTGTTGTACCAATAAGTCCATCCACCCAGTAGGCATATCTTGCCTGGTACTTTGGTATGTTGCATGCTTATCACTGGTAACATGCAACCAGTGCAACACAATCCTCTTCAACTCATCTGGATATCTAGTCCCTGTTCAGGCACCAGTTGTGTGGTATGACTTTTCCTGTCTGTTAATCCCAGTCAGGGTTTATTGGGGTTACTTACAGGAGGACGTGTAGTGAGAGGTTACTTAACAGGAATGTCAATGACTCAAAGGCAACTGCATCATCAAAAAGCCCACCCCAACATAGGTGATGACTCAAAAACAGCATCCCTGAAGCTCCTTACAAATTGTGGGCTTAACGTATTGGAGAGTCCTCTCCCCAGCAATTGCTACTGCTTATATAGCCTTGGGAGAAGCTTTGGGAGTTTATAGATCTCAGCTTTCTGAGACTCGTAGGTTCTGTGTACTAACACTTGATCCCTCGCTGGTCCCTCTACTGCTTTTCCTTCTCTATAATGTGTTCGAAAAAATAAGGATCATATTAAAATTCAGGGGAAAAAGGTTCCAGTGTCTTTTTATTTCATATTTAAGGCTTCTTGATCCATTCTTAGTTTTGATTAACCTGCCTACCCTTCCCCCATGTCACTGACCCCATCCCTGCTTAAACCTTTGGCCCCCAGGAGTCCCCTCCTATTCTTGCATGTCACATGTGTTCTGCTAGCCTCTCTGACTCTATTTCTTACTTGAGCTGAAAGATCTTAGGTTTCCATGTAGCTTTTTCTTTTTATTTAATTTATTATTTTTATTTTATGTGTATGCATGTATTGCCTGCATGTAGGTAAGTGCACCCATGTCATGCAATGCCTGCAGAGGTCAGAAGAGGCTGTCAGATCTCCTAGGACTGGAGTTACGGACAGTTGTTAGCTGCTATGTGGGTGCTGGGATTCAAACCTGGGTCTTCTGCAAGAACAACCAGTGTTCTTAACCACTGAGCCATCTCTCCAGCCCCACCCCCCCCCAATGTAGCTTTTTACTACATGCCTCTTTGGCAA